ATATAAGGTTTTGCGTACAAATGTAAAGTTTTACTTCCGGTTATTTTTAATCCACCTGCTTCCAAAAAGACTTTTTCGCTTATAACCCAGCGTTTTACCACTATTTATTTTTAAACCCGCATACTTTCAAAACCATGTTTAGGCCTAAAATACTCCACCAAATTGTTTTTAAATCCTCTTTGTATTTTAGCAATTTGGCATACAAAATAAGTTTTTGTATTTTGTTAAAAACCTTGCTATTCTTTTTGAACCATTATCTTTTTGACTTTTTTCACACTAATGATACAACATTGTGCGGCTCAATGTTATCTTTTTATTTTGTATTTATTGGTAATTTATTGGTTTTTTGAATCATACTTACATGTATATGTATCCAGTTTCTTGCATTCACAATTTCCATTGCACGCACTGTGTTCGGGAGAGCCTATTTTTTGAAGCTTATAAACTAAGTTGACTTTTGCCTTTTATTGTAAAAATGTTATAAATTTTTGGGTAGAATTATCATTTACCTGGTCAAACCTAGTTTATTTAGATGAGCTTATAAGTTGGTTATTCAAAAGTTGGGGAACCCCTACTTTTTTATATGGAACTTAAAAGCTAGCTTATATGGGATGTTACCAAACACGTAGGCATAAAATAAGCTCTGCCAAACACCCTCACCCTCTATATCATACATATGTATTTCCTGTACCTTATCTTTATCGTATGCCAAATGGCGACAACAGAACTCAGTAGTTAATTTAAATCACACGTTCGAGCAAATTTCAACTGCCAATACTTTAATGGTTAATTTGCGATATATTTCGTGCTATATAGTAAAAGAAAACATGTACTTTGTTTGCATTTGCATCTATTGTTGCAGGTTTTGAGCATACAAGTAACCCAAACGGAACTATCTCATTTGCCGTTAATGGCTTAAGCATTATGCATATTCTCATCTCAATATCCCCTATATATTGAACACAATGTCTTTTGTTATGTGCTGTTATGCGAGCACTTTGCCTGTCACATGAATCAACCCTGCCTGCTCACCACATAGTTTCATTTTTAGGAGAAAAATTTGCAGCAATTATAGGTTCGAAATTGAAAACAAAGGAATTATAACATCAGTTATGTTACATATCAGTTTCTTCACAAAGCAGCTATAATATTTGTTTTAAGTGCAAGTATGCTTTTTATTATGATGAGGTGCTCGTTCTTCCTGATACCTTCTGTTTTACTTGTTACAGGTACGTGCACAGCTATCAAAGCTTCTTGTGGAACCATGCAGCTAGCTTGCGAGTGCAAAAATATGGTGTGTGCTGGTGCTATTTTTGTGATGACACTTTAATTTACCATATGAACTTGTCTAAGAAATATGCTATCTATAGTTAACTTAGAGGAAATATGACTACTTACTGATATGTCTGCCTGCTAGTATTAACTGGTGAAAGTGCTTTCCTGACTTGATCTTAACGATGAACAGAAAGTTAGCATTAGCTTGCAGACTCATATATGACATGTGAGGTTTGACTGTTTATTTTCTGAAACTTCAACTTTTATGCAGCTTATGCTGCAGCTCATCGTTTGGCATCATGGTTTTTCTAGGTTGGGCATTGATTGGATGTGGTCCTCATGCCAAAAAAGTCACAGAGAAGAAACCAATAAATATTTTATACCTATTTTCTGTACCATGTGAATGTACATGAGCATATCCTCTTTCACATACCTTTCCACAAACACGGGGTCAAAACTCAAAGTTGGAATCTGCACAAGAACTTGGATGTAACTTTTCACAATTTACTGTCGACCTTCAATTTTCATAGAGAACTATGCAGTGTTATTGAGGCGCGCGTCCCGGGCGCGGGGCGCTTCAGCCTGGGCGAAATGCGCCCCGCACGCGAGGCGGGGCGCTGCACGCAGCGAGGCGCGCGCCTCGCGTGCGCCTCGCATGCGCCTCGCTCGCGCCTCGCGTGCGCCTCGCGCGCGCCTCGCGTGCGCCTCGCGCGCGCCTCGCGTGCGCCTCGCGCGCGCCTCAAGTGCGCTTCGCACCTGTGTTATGTAACATACTCTTTCTTCTATTTTTTTAAATAATTTACATAATTACATATTTATATCATGTAATATACTCTTTCTTACTAGTTGCTAATCTATTTTCATCTTTTCATGTTTAACCTATAAAAAGAAAACAATAATTAGTAATTTAGTATACTTGTTTGCTAATTGTAACTTCCTTCACTAATTAGCATGCTAATAGCAAATTATGAACATGTAAATATGTAATTATTACATTCATTCTTCATCTTTTCAAGCTAAGTAGCAAATATTAATTAAGAATACTAACTAGAAAATTATAAACAGTCATGTTTGTTAATTATATTTCTTAGTCTTTTTATGTGACAATTTATAAACATATGCTCATAATTGTATCACTTAATTTGATGATTTAAATACATGTTTCTTGTTTCTTTTTTGTTACTTTAAAAATTCAGTTAGCATAATTGATGATTTAAGTTGATATTCTCATAATTTTGGATGTAGGTAACTAATATGTTGCTTATATGTTTCTGTCTTATGATGTTGGTAAATATTAATTTGAGTTATGCGCCTTAGTTAGTGAGGCGCGCGCCTTGTTGTGCGCCTTGCGCATGGTGCGCGTAAGGGACCTTTGCGCCCCGCATTGCGCCTTGCGCCTCGATAACACTGGAACTATGTTAAACAGGCTTCCATCACAAAACCTTAGTGGAGGGGTAGGTAGTTCTGTTCAGTTCGTTTTGAAGGGTTAATTGCGGATAGACCCCCTGCAGATGGACCCCCTGTTCTAATAGTGTGGATAGACCCCTTAGTGAACTTTTTTAAACACTTTTAAGAATCTTAGAAATTAGCAATTAGGGATCTATGCGTACCAATACAACTGTAGGGACTAGGGGGTCTGCCGCCTCTACAAAACCTTTCCTAAGAACAAAGTATTTTTACTTAGGGAGTCAAATTACAGGGCTCTATCTGCAATTGGGTGATACTACAGGGGTCTGTCTATACCTATCCCTTTAGTTGTTTAGATACTGTATCTATCCCTTTAGTTGTTTGGATACTGTAAGTAATATCAATCAACTTTAATAGGCTGAAATTTCTAGTCGTGTGACCTAACAGTGAATTTGAATGGGAAGATTTCCACCCCACCAGAAGCATCGTAATATAGGCACAGATGGCGGAGTATGACAACAAACCAGTATATTACAATCACATGTATAAGGTTGTTTTCTTCAATCTTGCTGTAAATGTATATTAACATGAAAATTATATTAAACATGTGTCCAACACATTTGGAGAATGTCTAAGAAATGCCCTATTAGTGTCACATCCACTGGCATTGCACAGCCACATGATAGAATTGTCCATGCAAATGCAGAAAAGGTGAGAAGTGAGCTGAGGAAAAATATGTTAAAGTGTAGAATTACTTCTCTCAGAATAGCTAAATCTTAATCGTTAAAAGTGTAGAATTACTTCCGTCAAAATAGCTCAATCTTTCATTGTTTAAGCTTTAAATTCAAAGGTCGCACGACAAATTGGCTCAGTTATGGTTCAATCTTTCAATGTGTTTGTTTAGGATGGAAGCAGTGATTTACAGCTTCTGTGCTACACTTGACTGAAATTTGTAACTGCGAAAGAAAATTTCAAAGCTATGTGTACGCATGTATCTCCTGTCCAGAACCAATTGCCTACTGTCAGCTAGTAGATACAGCATACCTTATATTTATTCTATATCCGTTCCCCATTTACTGACAATCATCATGAAAGCAGGGATTGGCCAGGTTGTACTAGGAGATCTGGTCCTGTATAAAGAGGATTCTGCTGGAATGGTAGCTGATGAAGATAATGTTGAGACTGAAGATGATTGTCATGGTGACATTTCTTTGGCGTCGAATATTGTAGAAAAGGGCCATTTTGTCAAGGTGACCTAACAAGTAGACTGACTTTCTTTGTGTTGCATATTCCACTAAATATATTTCATTGAAGCATAAAATCCAACCAATACTCGGTATTTGGGAATATTGCATTTTTCTAGCCTTACAACAACCACCACCACCACTAGGCTTTTATCTCAAATGTTTGTGGTCGGTTACATGAATCCTTTTTTTTTCATTCCATTCTGTTGCGGGTCATTACCTCTGTTACGTTAGTCTTAATCATATCATTCTTAATTGCTTCTGATCAAGTTATTCTAGGTCGACCTTTAGATTTTTTAGCCCCATTAACTCTAATATTATTGTTTTTTCTAATCAGTACACTAATGGGGCTCCTTTGTACATGAGCAAACTATCTTAATCTATTTTCTCTCATTTTATCCTCAATAGGCGCAACATCTAATTTACTACGGATGCATTCATTCTTATCCTATCTTTTAATGTATACCCACAAGACCGTCGTAACATTCTCATTTTTGCTACACATTTTTTGAACATGTTTTTTAATTGCCCAACATTCTGACCCATAAAGCATAGTTGGTCTTATAATCGTCTTATAAATTTTTTTCTTTAGTTTCATTGGTATTCTATGTTCACATAAGACTCCCGAAGCACTCCTCCATTTCGATTTGATTTGATGCACAACATCATCCTCTATCTCACCATCATGCCTAATGATAGATCCTAAATACCAAAAATAATTAGTTTTAGGTATTTATTGGCATCAATATGTACAATAGGCTCTCTTTCTTTCCTACTTTTACTAAAAATACATTTCATATATTTTATTTTTGTTCTACTAATTCTAAAACCTTTAGACTCAAGAGCTTGTTTCCATCTTTCTATTTTAAAAATAATGTCTCTTCTAGTTTCATCAACTAATACTATATCATCAGTAAATAACATACATCATGGGATTTCATTCTGAATGTGCTTAGTAAGTTAGTCCATAACTAATGCAAAAAGATAAGGACTTAAAGTTGACTCTTGGTGTAAACTTATGGTAATAGGAAATGTTTTAGTCTCTTCTTTATTAGTTCTTGCTCTAGTTGTTACTCTATCACACATATCTTTAATCACATCAATATATATACTAAATACATGTTTTTTTTTCTAACACCCACCACATTACCTTTCTAAGTACTCTATCATAAGCTTTTTCTAGATCTATAAAAATTATATGTAGATACTTTCTCTTTTCTCTGTCTCTCCATCAACCGTCTCAAAATATGTCTAGTTTCCATAGTTGACCTCTCAAGCATAAAACCAAATTGATTTTCAGATATACATGTCTATTTTCTTAGTCTTTGCTCAATTACCCTCCTAAAATTTTATAGTATGAATCATGAGTTTTATACCTTGATAATTTGAACAACTTTGTATATCCCTTTTATTCTTATATATCGGTATCAAAATACTAATCCTCTACTCATCCGGCATTCTTTTCGTCTCGATAATCTTATTAAATACTTTAGTTAACTATCCTAAGCCTATATCTCCTAGACATTTCCAAACATCAATAGAGATATCATCCGGTCCTACGGCTCGTCCACTTTTTATTTTCTTTAGAGTATCTTTAACCTCGCTAATCCTAATTTTACTATAATATCTATAGTTCCTATCATTCACTATATGATCAAAATCTCTATTTTGCTCACTTGTTTGATTATTATTAAACAATTGATAAAAGTAACCCATCCACCTCTGTTTTATTTCCCCGTCCGTCACTAGAACTCTTTGATCCTCACTTTTAATACACCTAATATTACCTAAATCTCTACTTTTTCTTTCTCTAATCTTAGCAAACTTATATATATCTTTCTTCCCCTCCTTAGATTCTTACTTCTTATAAAAATTTTCATAAGCTTTGTATTTATTCTCACTAATCGTTATTTTTGCTTCCTTCCTTACTAGTTTATATTTTTCTAATTTTTCCTTACTCCTACACTTTTGCCACTCTTTATATAAAGTTTTCTTCTCTCTAATAACTTTTTGCACACTCATTCCACCACCAACTCTCATTACCGTCTAATCTACAACCTTTAAATTCTCCTAGTATATCTTTAGCCACTTTCCTAATACAAGAAGACATGCTATTGCACATAATATTAGTCTCATTATCTATGTTTCATGTCTTCTTTCATTATCTTATCTTTAAAATGTATTAAATTCTCCCCTTTTAAATTTCACTATTTAGTTCTTAGTATTTTGTTCACGTTAGTTTTTCTACTCTACTTTTTAATAGATATGTCTAAGACCATCAATCTATGTTGTGTACTTAAACTCTCTCCTGGTATAACTTTACTTTTTAATAGATATGTCTAAGACCATCAATCTATGTTGTGTACTTAAACTCTCTCCTGGTATAACTTTACAATCCTTGCATATTAACCCATCAATCTATGTTGTGTACTTAAACTCTCTCCTGGTATAACTTTACAATCCTTGCATATTAACCTATCCGTCATTCTAGTAAGAAAAAAGTCCATTTGACTATTATTAAAACTAATTTTAAAGGTTATTAAGTGTTCATCCTTTTTTCTAAAAAGTGTATTTGCTTTTATCAAATCATACGATTTTGCAAGCTCTAGAATTGATTTACCAATATCGTTCTTATCTTCATACCTGAAACCTCTATGTATCCTCTCATATCCGTTATTATCCTTACCAACATGCCCATTAAGATTCCTTCCTATAAGTAATTTCTCTCCAAATGAGATTCATTGTACTAATTCATTCAATCTATCTCAAAATTCCCTTTTAGTACTCTCGGGCAAGCCTATTTGTTGTGTGTAAGTACTAATAATATTAATAAGCTCTACACCTAAGATAACTTTTATTAGTATTATTCTATCTTCAACTCTTCTTACATCTACAACACTTTCTTTTATTATATTATCTACAAGAACTCTCACTCAATTCATATTCTTCTCTTTTCCCGTGTACCAAAGTTTATATCCGATCTTTTCAATTTCTTTAGATTTTTCACCTATCCATTTAGTTAATTGTAAACAAATTATATTTTTCTTTTTTCTAATCATGACATCCACTAATTCCATTGTCTTTCCGATAAGTGTACCTATATTTCAAGTAGCTAATCTAATTTTATTTTCTTGTAAAAGTCTCCTACCATTTTTCCTCTTAGTCCGTTCTAGTCTATGTTTAGTACTATTAGATACCCTATTAGAGGATTGTAGATTCTTAGAACACCATTGCTTACTTGTCATTACACCGGGGTGACATCGATGTAATGTGTCGCTTCTGGGGGATGTCCTAGCAAACCACTCTTGCTTACTTATCATTGCATCGGGGTGGGATCGATGCAACGCGTCACGGTGGGGACGCCACAACGAGTATATAATATGATTCATTTTACATGTGGATCCGATTATGTTTTACGCTGGCTGTCGGCTACTAACACAACCCTCCTCCTTTATCCTAGCTTGGGACAGACAGTGTTGACAAACAACACTGGCGGAGCTATTTTCTGGCCTTCTTTTTTCTTTTTTGTTCTGTACTTCTTAGTCATTGATGAGAAACTGCATGATCTGATGTTTTTTTCTGCTGAGATTTACAGGTTGTAAAATCTGAAGATATATCAGCAGGTTGTTATACATTTGAAGATGTTGTACTTCCTTTGCCTGGGTAAGGGATCATCTGCATTTTATTGGAAATTTCAGTCTGGGATTAAGTG